GAAGAGATAATCATGGTTGCCCCTGCTGTTGTACAGACCCCATGATGATCATGAGGCAACGCAAAGAGCAACCATTATCTCTGAAACAGCAGCTACATGATTAGGCCAAGCTCCTATGGGGAAACTAAAAGAAAATGATTATTAGACTTGAGGTTTCCTGATCCCAAACCAGACTTCCTTCAACTTCTATGAAATTTTGCCCATATGATAATTATTATTAGACATCAAAAGAAATCCTGCACCTCTGCACTACATCGAAAGAGCATGTATCCAAGGGATGTCGGTTTGAAGTAAGTGAATACACCCCCTCAAAAAAATCAACCAATAAGTGGCTGAGCAGAATCACCTGGAGAGCTTGTTTAAAATATGGATACTTGGATCCCATTATCTAGAGTCTGTTTAGCAGCCTGGAGATTGAAATCAGAAGTTTGGGAGAGGTTTTCATCATTAAATACTTAAGCATTCAACTCCATCATAACTATAGTAAGGTTATCACACCCAGGTTTGATTTTAGAGAAACTCAAATTGTCTTTGCGCTTCCAAAGATTTAGTATGCAGGCCTGGGGTTTTAGATAGTCAAAAGATCATTGCTTTTTTTTTTTTTTTTTTTTTCGGAACACTCCTTTTTCCTGCCTCTGCCTTTCCTGTCCAGCTCACTATGTACTTCTCAGCCCCTTCACCCATGCCTGTGCCAAAAGTACAGGCTATCTAGGTACGCATGACATCCCAACCAATTTATTTCTGTTCTACCTCTGCTCATGGTGCCGAATTGGAAGTGGTGGCAAGGTTACTACAGGACACTTTAAGCGCCTGGCCCTCTTTCACAGAACAGGTGGGGTTGCAGGAGTAGGGTGAGGCTTTTTGCAGCAAAGATCATGTTTCTGAAGAAAAGGTCAAGTGGTCCAAGATAATGTTCGCAGCAAAAATTGTGACGGTGTCCTGGCTAGGAAGTAAAAGTATTCTCCAGGGTTGAAGGCACACCTACCATTTTCTGCAACAGCAGCAACAGGGGTTCTTACTGACAGCATACACAAGGAAAGGTGTTTTTGCTCATCTCACCTCACTTAATACTCACAACGGCTCTAAAATGAAAATATTATTGTCCTTATTTTATAATAAAACTAAGGCTGAGAAGTAATTTGGTCAACCTTGTGCAATAAGAAAGAGGCAAAGCTGGGTTCAAAATCATCACAACAGATGCAAAATCTGAATCTCAGCCACTAGGCTATGTTAGCACACAACTGGATTTATTTATTTATTTTATTTTACTTATAAAGACAGGGTTTCACCATGTTGGTCAGGCTGGTCTTGAACTCCCGACCTCAGGTGATCCACCTGCCTTGGCCTCCAAAGTGCTTGGATTACAGGCATGAGCCACCACTCCCAGCCTATTTATTTATTTACTACTTTTTGAGATGGAGTCTCCCTCTGTTGTCCTGGCTGGAGTGCAATGGCGCAATCTCAGCTCACTGCAACCTCTCCCTACTGGTTCAAGTGATTCTCCTGCCTTGGCCTCCTGAGTAGCTGGGATTACAGGTGTGCACCACCACACCCAGCTAAGTTTTGTATTTTTAGTATAGACAGGGTTTCACCATGTTATCCAGGCTGGTCTCAAACTCCTGACCTCAGGTAATCTGCCCCCCTCAGCCTCCCAAAGTGGTAAGATTACAGGCATGAGCCACCACATCCGGCTGCACAACTAGATTTAAATACATATTCAGATGTTGCAAGAATCCTGATACCTGCCTGTGGTCCTAAGCACTGCTATGGAGGATACATTCCATCCCTATACCTTGAGGTCACTGTAGCAATACTGAATCCCATGGAAGCAGGAGCTAGAAGCTTTACATGCACTGAAAAACTGAGAAATCCTCTGTCTTTGGAAGTCAGTGTCAGGATCTGCAGCTGACTCAATGCCTGGGAGAAACTTGTGGGTTAGGCTACCCTATTGGGAATGCAGAGAGCCCTCTCTATCAGAAAGATGGAGCACTATAGAGCTCATGAGAAATCACAGGAAAGCAGCCTTCCCATGAGTCTGCAGGACTTTGGAATCTCTGCTGCTGCACAGGGGTTTCATTCTTTCCCAGATTCAAAATTAGATACTGATATGACAGATCTGGGTACAAATAGCATCCTCACCAATGAACATTTATCCCAGTGGGGTTTTTTTTAACTCTCAGGTGGCTGAAGAGCTCCACAAAGGTGTCTTAAGAGACACTGTAAAGAAACAAGGTAAGTGGAATATGCCTGAGTTTTCACAGCCAATCCCATTTCAACCAGAACAGGGCTGCTAAAATGTGTTTTATATGTTGGACTTCCTTGTAAGCTTCTATTTGAAGGAAGCATTCCATGTCAAGAAACATGTTTGTAAATGACTGTTTCTATCCTCTTAAACTGGACTCCTATTATTCCTAAACCCCACCAGTTGGTTGGAGATCTAAGACTGAATAAAATCTAAGGAACAGGCCCTGTGTGGTGGCTCACACCTGCACTCCCAGCACTCTAGGAAGTGAAAGCAAGCAGATCACTTGAGCCCAGGAGTTCAAGACCAGCCTGGGCAACACGGCAAGATCTTGTCTCTACTAAAAATACAAAAATTAGCTGGGTATTGTGGCACTTGTAGTTCCAGCTACTTGGGAGGCTGAGGCGGGAGGATCACTTTAACCTGGAAGGTCGAGACTGCATTGAGACAAGATTACACTACTGAACTCCAGCCTGGGTGACAGAGAGAGACCTTGTCTCAAAAAAAAAAAAAAAAAAAAAAATCTGAGGAATAACCTACCCCCAACATAACAATAGGTACTACCTGACTTTTTTTTTGAGACAAGGTCTCACTTTGTTGCCCAGGCTAGAGTGCACTGGTGCAGTCACGGCTCACTGCAATCTCAACCTCTGAGATTCAAGTGGTTCTCTCACCTCAGCCTCCCTACAGGTGTATACCATCTCTCCCAACTAATTTTTGTATTTTTTTGTAGAGACAGGATCTCACCATGTTGTCCATGCTGGTCTTAAACTCCTGGGCTCAAACAATCCACCTGCCTTGGCCTCCCAAAGTGCTGTGATTACAGACATGAGCCACCATGCCCAGCTTCAAATATCCTTGATGGGAAAATTGTACCCTTCTCTAAGAAAAAAAGATGATTCTTCAGTTAAATTTGATTCTTCAGGTCATAAAGGGATAGAAGACGAGCATCCAAGTCCCTGTACATCACTATGGTGAGAGAAACCTCAGCCAACTTTATGAGCACCATGGAGATTTAATCAAATCATACCAGAACACCTACTGTATACAGACATTCAGAGAAAGCCTGAGTTCTACTGAGAAAATACGAAGAAAGGGGTGTGCAAGAAAGACAGTAGCCACATGGGCCTGGCAATTACTGTTGGTTACCTACTTGTTGATCATACTCCACCCATACTTCACCTCTTCTTCGCTGGCAGGGTCTCATCTCCCTTTGTTTAGTCTGAAAACAAATATTCACTTTCCCATCTTCCTTAGTAACTAGGACACGGGAATGTGTCCCGTTTCTCCAAAAGTCTTCTGGGAAGAGCTGTTTGCTCTCTCTCTCTCTCTCTCTCTCTCTCTCTCTAAAAAAAAAAAAAAAAAAAAAGGATAATAGGTCCATGAAAATGCCCCTCTTCTTCACTTGCCAGGCCCTTGGAAAACATTATCCCTTTTTATCCTCATAGCAACCCTATGAGGTAATTAATAATATCTTTCCAAGTTTAGAAATAAAGAAACTGAGGCTTAGAAAGGTGAATAAGCTGACCAAGACCATATCTAATAAATGGTAGAGCCAAGATTTGAACCCAGATCTCAAGACCATATCTAATCAATGGTAGAGCCAAGATTTGAACCCAGATCTGTGTGACTTCTGTTATGGGTTGAATTGTGTCCCCCTAAAAAGATATGTTGAGGTCCTAATCCCCAGTACACAGAATGAGGCCTCATCCAGAAATAGGGTCTCTACAGAGGTAATCAAGTTAAAATAGGGTCATTACAGTGGGCCCTAATCTAACCTGACCAGAGTAATGATAAAAAAGGGGAAATTTGTGCACAGAGACAGACACACATAGAAGATGCTCTAAGGCATGCAGAGCGAAGGCAGTCATGTGTCTGGAATGATGCATCTCCAAGCTCGGGAACTCAAGAATTGAATGCAAACTGGAAGTCGGAGAAGGAAAGGAACAATTCTCTTCCCATAGAGCCATCAGAAAACTTGGCTCTGCCATCGCCTTCATTTAAGGCTTCTAGTCTCCACAACTATGAAACAATACATTTCTGTTGTTTAAAGCCACCTAATTTTTGGTACTTTTTTTTTTTTTTTTGCAACAGTGTAGCTCCATCGCCCATGCTAGAGTGCAATGGTATGATCATAGCTCATTGCAGCCTCAACCCCCTGGGCTTAAGCAATCCTCCTGCCTCAGCCTCCCAAGTAGCTAGGACTACAGGTGAGGACTACAGGTGAGCCACCGCACGTGGTCCCATTTTTTGGTACTTGTTATGGCAGCCCTAGGGAACTAAAACAACTCCCAAACCATCAGAGAGGTTATTATTATAATACCTCCCTGAAAACGTACAAATTTAGTTTTGCCTGGGAATGGCACTGGAGTAGCAGAGACAATCCCAAAAAATAATGACAGTCTTGGGCAGACATGGTGGCTCACTCCTGTAATCCCAGCACTTTGGGAAGCCGAGGCAGGTGGATCACTTAAGGTCAGGAGTTCAAGACCAGCCTAGCCAACATGGCAAAATCCCATCTCTACTAAAAATACAAAAAATTAGCTGGGCATGGTGGCACATGCCTGCAGTCACCTATACGGGAGCTGAGGTGGGAGAATTATTTGAACCCAGGAGGTGGAGGTTACAGTGAGCCAAGATCACACCACTGCACTCCAGCCTGGGCGACAGAGCTAGACTCCGTCTCAAAAAAAAAAAAGAAAAAAAAGTCGCAACAATCTTCATGAAGGCACAAATACAGGGCCAAGCAAATCTTGTATTGGCCCAGCAGGAGAGCCAGGTTGCAGCAGAGACAATGACAAACTCAATCTGCCTTTATCAAACTGAAAATATAACCAAAGGTTCTTCCTATGTTAGGCTCCAACACCCTTTGAGGTTGGTGTCTCTGTTTGCGTAGGTGATGGAACTAACTGGCCCCCAAATCCCACAGCTAATAAAAAGAAGCCTTTGAACCTATAGCTTCTAATAAGGCTCACTGCTCTTTCCGCCTGCTGTGACTTACTGTCATGGGAGACCATCCTCAAGGACATTTCATTGCCTCTGGATGTGGGCAGACATTAGAACGAACACTGTGTAAGTACAATATTTGCCTCATGCTTTGTGTTTCTATTTGCAACAGGTTTTGGTTTTAGGTTTTTGGGGGGTTTTTTTGGGACTTAATTGGTCAATGTAACAATTGCAGTTCCTCTGTGTGTTGTCTCAGAACACCCAACTGCATCTCCCTGATGGCCTCATTTCCCCCTTCTGTTACAGTGCATTCCACTGTGGCAGAGCTAATAATTGCAACTAATTAATTTAAGAATTGCCTTGAGATAAGAACAAAAGTGCTTACGTGGAGGAAGTCAGCGGGTAGGAGGTAGGCAAAAGAACTTGCTCCTCAAGAGGAAATTCTGAACTTTGGCTTCCAGCCCTTGGCACCTCTGATACGTGATCCGTGGCTTTTCTGTTGAGCAGACCCAGGATGCTTCCTTTACAGCTGAGAGAATCACTTCGGTGAAAGCTCCTCCTCCTGCCCACTCCCTCAGCCTGGAAAGCAGCAGGAACATTGTGGGTCCTCACCACCCAGGGTGCCATGAAGAGGAACTCCGAAATAAAGAAAATGGAAGATGACAACTCAAGCTACGGGTTCCTCACTTGAGAGCTCCAAAAGGGATGGAATATGATGCCTGGACTTATCTTTTCTTCATCATTTAGCTCAACTTTTCAGCATGTGATTTTGTGTAACTTCTTTTGCCCTGCATTTATCATGGACCCCTGCTTGGTAACCTGCAAACTCCCATACCTAGCATCTAAAGCTCTCCATACACTGACACTAACTTCTTATTCAAACTAGACTCCAGTGGCTCCCAAACTTGAAGCCTCTCTTCTAACCAAATGACTCTAAAACATCTGTGGCTCCTTCTTATCTTCCTGTCTCCTGGCTCAAAGCACTTCCCCACTGGAAGCCCATCATAACAAAATATACATGAAAGAGCACCCATCCTGCAGTCCAGTGGATCTCCATCATCTATCCAGAGACTGGCTTTACCCAAACCATCTAAGGAGCTTATCAGAAACCCTGAGCTCTACTGCCAGATGGTTCTCCTGCACAGTCAAGTCTGGAAACTCCTAATAGCCCAAACTCACTCTGCCAGTGCAGGGCTTTCCTCTATACCGTTCTAAGACACAGAAACCAGTCTCTGCTTGAACATTCACTGTGGTCTGGAAATCACCACCTGATGAAAGAACTGAATTCCATTTTTAAACAAAGCTAATTGTCAAAAATGTATGCCATTTGTTGAGGCAATGTCATCTTCTCTGCAAATCCCACTATTTGACCTAATTTTGTCATATGCATCTACCCAACATATACACAATAACTCTTCTAACAACAGTTGTTCAAATATCTAAAGATAGACATAATATCCCATGTATCCCACACCCAAACTCATAAGTCTTCAAATCCTCCGCTAAACAACTCTAATTCCTCCAAATGTAAACGATAATTGATCGTGATGATCATAGTCCTTGGCATAATCCATGAAGTAGATACTATCATTATTTCCATTATACAGACAAGTAAACCGAGGCTGTGAGAGATTAAGTAACTTCCCCAAGGTGACATAGTAAGCATCAGAACTTGTGTCAGTCTGAACAAGTCTGACTCCAAAATGATGTTATTACACTTTGCTGTGCTGTCCCTAATTTGTTCATTTTGTTTGAACAATCTCCGATTTTAATATCGCTCATTCAATGTCATACCCAGAATGGAACACATTGCTTGTGAACTTGTGTGCCCAGCACAGAGCACAGAGCCCTCTTGCTGTCCACCGTTCAATTCTATCCATGTAGCCCAAGATGATCTTGGTATTTCCTGGTAGCCCCATCACACAGTTGACTGATATCAATTAAACTGCTTTGGTTTATTTTCACATGAACTGCTATAAAGTCAGGTATTATTTCCATTTTATCAATTGCCTATTGTGTGCAAATCCAAGAGCTATGGACTAAGGATATTGGAGTGGATACAATGTTAGATAAGGCACACCTGCTCTCAAAGGAGTGAATGAAAGAAAAGGAAAGGAAAATACTGAGTGGAAAAGATTAGAGAGCTAGTTCCCATCCTTATCAATAGCATTTATATAACTGTCAGGTGGAGAGAGCTTAGGGAGGCCCAATCCTTTTTCAGCTCCGTGATAATTGTTACTTTGTGACTATATAATCCCTGTTACCAAAGCCCAAATAGAAGAACAGGTCAGATGCTTGAAGCTACCATTCTATGTTTCTTACCCTGTGCCTTTTAAATCTGAGTTGAAGACTTGCCTTCTATGTGCACTGAGTTGTATCTTATGTATTTAACTTGTGAGTCTTGGTCATCTTTCCAAACTTTAGAAGTTTTTTATTTTTTTAGCTTTGTTTTTTAACCTGATTCTGCCATGTAATGTCTTGGTCAGCACTACCAGATCTGAACTTCTTACAAATGGAATTAACATGCCCTCTATGTTCCAGATGAAAACATCGAATGGGAATTGAGCCTAGA